ATATGTCAAAGAGCTTTTGAAGAGCACCAGTACAGGGAATTCTATTAGAGTTTCACAGGTGCCCCTTCGGGTTCCAACTCCTCCAATATGAGTTCCCTCTTCACTGAGGGTGCTCACGTTGTCAGTCACAGAATGCGTGTTGAATGGACTTAGCTCCTGGAATCTTTACTTCAGGGGACACATGCTACTGCAGGCCTTACAGGAGATAAGAGCTGTGCACTGGGCAGATGCTAGTGTGCGGAACTCAGGGTTGTTTTGGTGGCAGTTTTAACTAATATGGAGATAAGCACTACAGAAAACAGGACGTTATTTGAACAGCTTAGGAAGCACTGGCAGTAACGATGGGCAACTGTAACCGGGACTGAACTGGAAAGCCTGCTCCCACTCCACGCACTGGCAAGTCTGGCCCCCCACAGTAGAGGTCTAGTCTGGGATAGGAATGTCAGCATCACAGAGAACGAAGCCAGGATGGCATCCAAGGGAAGGCTTCAGGGACAGGGGACCCTCTCCAGTGATCTGGTCAGGTGAAGCAGGTGCGTTTGAGCTCCTGAACAGAGGTCCCAGGGGGGTCACCATAGGGCCAGGCAAGGAGGCCCAGCTTGCACTGAGCTGGGAGGGAGAGCAGAGCTGGTAGGAGTCATTCAGGTCAGGATGCTCTCCTCTGGGTTTGCCCCTAAAACGCGGCCCTCGCTGGTCCCATCGGGGTTTCTGCACCTGCGCCCTGCGGAGAGCACAAGGCTCTCGCCTAGTAACCCCTGGTGGCCTCCTGCACCTTGCCCTGCGGAGCCCGGGTTCTCACCTGGTAACCCCTGGTGGCCTCCTGCAGCGGCATGGTGCTGTGGTCCCTGTGCTCCAGGGTGGTGTCGCAGACCCAGCACAGGGCCTCCTGGTCGTCCTCGCAGAAGAGGGTCAAGTCCTCGCCGTGTCGCGCGCACTGGTGCACGCCCACGGGCCCCGCGCCCAGCCCTAGCTGCCGCACGCCATCCACCAGGCTGGCCAGCTGCCGGTTGGGCCGCAAGCTGTCTAGCCCGAAGGGGCCGCGGCACTGAGGGCAGGTGTACAGTCCACCCTGCGTGCTAGGGGACTTCTCGCAGAACTCGGAGATGCACCTGCGGCAGAAGCTGTGGCCGCAGGCCACGCTGACTGGGTCCTGCAGAAAGTCCAGGCACACAGGGCAGCGGGCCTCGTCGCGCAGCCGCTCCCCAGGTGCCCCCGAGGCCATGGCCGCCTGCTAATGCAGCGCGACCCTCCTCCGCAGCCCGGTTATCTGCGCTCACCGTCTGGCCTGGAAGGGAGGAGCACACAGCCTCCGGAGACGCCAGCACAGCGTGGCTTTCATCCCTGGCTCTGGTTCAAGAGCCCAGCAGAGCCCCTCCTGGCAACAAGTCACATCCCAGCCCTCAGTTACAAGGACAGAATTCACATTTCGGTCCCCCTGGGTTGCCAGGGAACTGGGCATGTGTAGGGGAACCACCCCTCCTGTGATGTCTGAATGGAGCCCCTACTTCTGTTCTCACCGCTAGGGCACTGGGAGAATTCCTGGGCTGTCCTTCCATTATTTTTCTGAACTACCCCACAGCCTCCTTATCCTGTAAGGCAAAATAATTTCTCTTTTTTGGGAAGATTTTATTTATTTATTTATTTATTTATTTATTTGACAGAGAAAGAGCATAAGCAGGGAAAGCTGCAGAGAGGGAAAGCAGAACAGGGAGCCCCATATGAGGTTCGATCCCAGGACCCGGGATCATGACCTGAGCCCAAGGCAGACGCTTCACCGCCTGAGCCCCCCAGCCCTTCTTATACGGCATAATAATTTCTTATAGTGTTTGCCAAACTTTGACTTCATACCCTCCACTACTCAGCTCAGGATAAAGACATGAGCAGATGGGCTTATGTGGTGATGCCTGGATAGATGAGTAAGGAGCGGGAGAAACCTAGAGAGGATGTGATCCCCGTTTGGGAAAATATGGTGAGGTGGCAAAAGCAGGGAGGGTCCCTCCTGGAGCAAAATGTGACTTCCGTTCTGCTGAATTTGGAGTGATGGTGTGAATGCCTGTACCAAGTCATCCAGTCTGAACACAACACGTGTTCTGGGTACCAGAGCCCCAGACACAAGGGCCAGTTCAAAGCGTTATGTCCCAGCTCCCAGGGAGCATCAGGGTGCATCAAGAAACCTTGTGCAATTACAGAGTAATAGCTGGGAGAAAGCTCAGCAGCTACAGGAACATGAGGGGACTCTGAGCTAGCCTGCTGGGTTGGGTGAGGCTCCCACTGGTCTCTGGGCTAACAACAGAAGGGCCATCCAAGGAGCAAGCAGGAAGGGAAGCCTAGGACAGAGCACTCAGAGGCTGCAGGGCACACACACATGAACCGTGGTGGGAGGCAGCAGGAATCAGCCCTGTGAGCAGAGCCCTCTAGGCGGGCTGTGTGTGGACAGATGAGGAGGAGGGGCCGGAGATAAGGTCCCCAGTCAGAGGCGGGGGCAGATGACTCAGGTCTCTGGGGCTCCTGTGAGGTCTGCGGCCCTTATTCATTTGTTTTTAAAGATTTATTTATGTATTTGAGAGTGAGGGGAGGGGTGGAGGGTGGGGGACTGTCCAGCAGACTCCCCGCTGGGCGAGGACCCCCCCCCCCCAACAAGGAGGAGGGCTTTGATCTTATAAACCCGAGATCATGACCTGAGCAGAACCCCAAGTCCTATGCTTCCCCTACTGGGCCACCTGCTCAGCATATGTGGGTCCTTATTCTAAGGATGAGGGCTTGCCCCGAAGCTTGGTGCTGGGCACTGTCTGAAGGCTCAAGGTCATCTACCCAAGGCCAGTTTCATAAACAAACTAGATTTCTCTGAGTGCAAACAGACATGAGTGTGAGCAAAGCAGCAGAGATGAAAAGTCAGAGAAGAAGGCAGAAGGGTGCCAGGATTCTCAGTGCAAACACAGACGCTGGCTCGCGCTGAGGACTGCGCCCCTTTCTCGCTCAGGGGACTTCGAGAAGGCCATGTCCCCCTCTGCCTGCCAAGCATCCTCTGAAACAGGAGGACATGGTTGTTGTCCCTCTGACAGTGCATTTCAAGGATAAGACAGACTCATGGGTACCACACATCTGGTCCAGGCTCCGGCACGAGTCCCTACATATGGTCACCTAAACAAAAAGGACACAATCAGTGGGAGAAGGATGGCCACACAGAGCTTAATTCCACAGATCAGGAGAGCTTTTTCCACCTTATGTAATGCTATGTTCCCAGTACCGTGAAGAGCGATGCCCGTTTGTACACCCAGGAAACCCTGGCTGCGTGAGCAAGTGGACATCAGACAGCGGTTCTTCCCCATAGGATTCTAGGGCAGCTGAGTTTAAGCTCTGCTTTGTCTCAAGACTCCTTGGCTGAGGAATGAGTCTGTGCCCTCATTGTTCTTAGAAAGACCCTTCCCTTGGAGCCTGTCCCCACAGGTAACGAATGCAATGGATTATAATTTGATTTTGTTGTGTTTACAAATGCCATGAGAAGTGACCACCTGGGTGCTTTTTTGTTTAATAGGGTTGGTCTAACTGAAGTTTGTATTTTCTCACAATCTTTCTGCTAAGGTGAACAAAACATGTCCTTGTGGGGACACGGCCTCATTTTGGCACACTCTCTCCTGGGGTCTCACCTGTCCTTTTCAGTTTGCCTCATTCCAAATCCACCCTGACTCTCACCAGTACCTCTTCTCTAGTTCTCCTCTCCATTGGTGTCCTGTCTTCTCCAACAGCATGGGATCATCCCTCCTAGGGACATTCCTCCGCGCTCACCTCCCCTAACTGTCCCTAGGGCGTCCGTATTGTCATTCCTAGCTGGGTCCCTTGTCATTCTCCCAAAGACTCTCAGCTCTCCCTGGGCCTCAGCGTCTGGTTCAGCTCTGGGGACCCACAATCTCCTCCAGCCAAGCTCCTTCCACCCCACAGGAAAAAAAAAAAAGTTCAAACCTCAAAAACCGCAAATGCAACAGCCACTGACACAGCACTTTCCTTCCTGTTTGTGGTTTTCAAAAGGATTTGGGTGGGTTTTCATTCAGCCGTTATGCCTTGCCTTATTATGGCTCCTTTTCCCCCAGACTCTGCCTTGGGGCTTTTTGAGCTGAGGTATGTAGTTGTCCTTTGTGCACACAGCCTCAGCCTTCCCTGGTTAGGTAAGGGGCACCTATAGCCCATGGAGCTCCGTGTCTCCATGGAGGGAACCCAGGAAACAGAGCTGAACCAGAGAAGGTCCCCACGACTCTAAGGCAGAGAGAACATGTGTGGGACACGGGATGGGCTGTGGGAGAAATGCCACTGCTTAGCCATTTTCCCACACATGTGACCTCCACTCCCCATATGTGCAGGTTAGCAAAGGTTGATTCATGGAGTCATGCTGTATTAAAAAAAAAAATGATTCACATTAGAATTTTCTTTAGACAGTTTGAGGGACTTGAGAAAAATGCATCCTGTTCATAGCTTTATTCCAAAGTCCTTCCCTTGGGCTGCACAGGGTAATGGCTCAGTAGAGCTTCTGGAATAGATTAATAAATGCAATATCCCATCTAAGATTCGGAATCATTCTCTGAAATAATACTGTAAACCCGACGCGTATATTAGATACGAGAAACCTGAGATGTAACAAATGCAAGTAAGACACAGAACCTGTCTTTGTCAGTGTTGATACTACTGTGCTCTCCAGAACCATGCAGGGATGGCATTCCTCCCACCACAGATGGTTGTAGGAGCTTGGTACCAGGTCTTGGGATCAAGTGCAAACCTAACAAAGAAGATGACCCTGGGTTTATACCCAGCCATAGGAGAGAGCTGGCATGGGCATAGAATAACAAGGTAGCGATCGATATTCCCGGGTCCCCACAAGGGTGCATGAAGGGGCCGGCCAGAATGGAGATACAACCTGCATAGTCACGGAGAAAAGGACCACAAAGGCACCAGTCTTGGAATAGGGTTTCCAGGGAGACCTAGAGCTGCAGCTTCCGTCTGCGGGTCCCATGGGGTCTGGGCACAAGAAACACGAGAGCAGAAACCCCATTAAGTCTGAAAGGACGTTGGGTGTCTCAGAAGGTCCAGTGGTTCAGTGTGGCTCCCAGTCCACCTGAGACTGGGGAAACACAGACCGATGGCTGATTCTGCATGTTCTGCAAGGTTGTGTAGATTTTTATTTGTGGGCAAAGGGCACTGATTTTCAGCTATCATCTCTGAGTGTGATATCCAATCCCCATGGCTGTCTTTCCTCATGGTCTGGGTTTCGAAGCCCTGAGGGTCACTGGGAGTTAGAGCTCTGCCCGTCCTCAGGGATGCTCCCGTGTGGCCAGGGGTGTGGGGTGACATGGGACATAGGGATTTCTCTCTGCTGGTAGAGGCAGCCTGAACCCAACTGTATTCATATAGAGTCCATTATTATAGGGCCAATAACTATAAAAACAGACCTCCAAGCAAGGCCTCTGAAACACTCTTCCATGAGCACAACTGCTCTACTCCTTTTTCAATGTCCATTCTGTGTAAAATACATAAGAAAAAGCAGAGGCATTTCCCCATATATGTAGACTTCCACACACTTGCAAGTAATGGCCAAGGATGGAATCTCGTGTTTCACAGAATGCTATTCTTGTAAATCACTTTGACACAAAAAATAGGCTTTGACATTTAGGACATACAGGATGTACCCCATGCTAAGAATGTCTGTGCTTTTGAGTCTTCTACAAACACCATAGCATAACAAGGAAAAGCATGAATCATAGAGAAGGATTTTTCCTGCTTTCTATAATATTTAAAGAAAGAGGACCACTTGGGGGGGCTCAGTCATTAAGCATCTGCTTTTGGCTCAGGTCAGGATATCTGGGTCCTGGGATGTATTCCCCACATCGGGCTCCCTGCTCACTGGGAGTCTGCTTCTACCTCTCCCCCTGCTTGTGCTCTCTCGTGTCTCTCTCTCAAATGAATAAATATTTTTTAATAAATAAAATCTTAAAAAAAAGATTTAAGGGAAGAGAAAAGGGCATACACATGCTTTTAATTAGTGGCAAGGTGGGAGACAAATCAGGAAGCTTCCATGGTGATATTTGAAAGGGTTTCCCAAGACTGGACAAAAAGCACTTAAAACAAACAAACAAGCAAACAAACAAAGATTGCAAAGTTTAACCTTATTTTTTAAATAAATGAATACATTCCCAACATATTAATGAAGAAGTGATATGTTCCTCCCCAAAGTGGGGCATTCCTATGAAACCTCTTGTGAACAAAAATGCATACTAATGAATCGTTGAACATTACAACAAAAATTTAGGATTATACGCTGGCTAACTGAACATAACAAAGAAATTGTGAAGTGCATACATTAAAAAAATAAAAGCAATTGCCATTAAAAACATTTTTGAGCATTTCCTGACTCCAAAATAGGCTTTTCTGATGCCTGGGGATGCATCTTCCTGACAAATGGACTCCAGGAATCAAGGGGAAACACAGGTGCTCCCAAAGACCAGAGCTGCGATGGCTGGATGTTGAGCGAGGCTCCTGGGGAAGGGCATGTCACAGGACATGTCGTCCATGTGACAACACCCTACAAATCAGACACTGTACATGATGGTTTTGCTTTCCACCTCTTTTGTAAAAGCAAAAAATCCTGTCCAGATTGCTTTCCATTTGCAAAAGCAGATGCTATTGCAAGTCTCTTAAAAGTGAAATGGAGTAATTAAAAGTTCCAAAAAGAGGCGACCTATAATACCAGAGCTGGCCCTTTTAAGGGTAAAACCTTAAAGGCCAGAAACAATTTTAAGGTGAAATTTCTCTGGAAAGCAGATTTTCCTGGATGAATGTTGTGCCATTCGCCCAGCTGCTACAACTCATATCTTTCCTGGTACCCCAAGGAGGGTTTTCCCAACTTCCCATCCCATTCAGACCCCAGCCCATGTCCACGGTGGAAATTATTTCATGCGGGTGTAGTAAGTCTCTCCCTCATTTGTCTCCCCTGCTAGCTCCTGAATTACCAAGCAGGAAAGCAGACCTTCTATCATTAGTAAAACTAACATTTATTCATTTCCTTTGGGGTCCCTTGAGTTTGAGTCCACTGATACAGCTTGCACAATTCCTGGAATTGCCCTAAAAGCAGAGCATAAGAGTGAAAGACAGTGGATTTGAAGCTAAAATAGATGTGCATTCAAACACAGGTGCTCTGACCCTGGGTAGTGATATTATGTCATTCAAATAACCCTCAGGTGACCCCGGTGAGTGATGTGGGCCCCTCTGACTGTGTCTTTGTGGGGAAAGTGGGTTCTTCTATAAGGCTTACATGGGTTTTTGTGCACGGAGGGCCTGACATATAATACATACTCAACAAATTCTGGTCCAAACCCTTCACCATTCAGTCATACAATGCACCTGACAGAAAGGAAGGAAAGTGCAGATCTTGGGAGACATCATCTGTTCAATTGTGTGCAGGGGCTAACTGTTCTTCTTTTAAATATTAAACCCATTTTATTTTATTTTATTTTATTATTTTTTATTATGTTAGTCACTGTACAGTACATCATTAGTGTTTGATGCAGTGTTCCAAGATTCATTGTTTGCTTGTAACATCCAGGGCTCCATGCAATCCATGCCCTCCTTTATACTATCCCCAGGCCAACCCATCCCTTTAACCCCTTACACCGAAATAGATTTTTTTTTAATACAATAACCTAATTCTTAAATAATATGCAAGAAACTTTAGTAAAAATGTTTATAATGTTTGAAATAAGGAATCAAAAACAGGATTCTTGCCAGCCTGTGAAATAAAATTCAGAGCAAATGACCATTATGAGCTTTTCTTACTACAGATTGCATATTGCTCTATCAGAAGCCATGATGCTCATGGGAAACAAAAGGTATTGGGAAGAACACCCAAGATAACTGATGTCCAGGAGTAGTGAGAGAAAGAGGACCCAGTGAAAGAGACCCTATATATATTCCATATAGTACACATCTGTAGGCTTCTAAGTGTTTATGTCATTAATACCCTTCAAAACCTACCAATGTGCACCATAGCTCACCATTTATACATTTCATTATATGTTTTTAATCCTCATTATGTAGTTCAGCCCCAGAGATGGTATTTATCTACTGGTGCTCTAACATCTTCTCTTGCCAAAGAAGAGACTTTTTTTTTTTTTTTTTGTCACCACATGTTTAAATACTAGAGTGAAGCTGGTCCCATAGTTGGCTCTCAGCAGGCAGCCAAGTGGACCTGTGAAGCCTGACGCTTTCTGGTTGTGGGTACATACACATACTGGTCATTCCAGCTGGCTGTCCCTCATGTGGACACAGTGATGATCTATGTAGGCCTGGATACCCTCCCCCCCAACATGAGTAGAGCTGTGGCTGATGTGAAGACTGTATCATGCCTTTCATTTCTTTTTTATCTGGAAACATGCAGAAATTACAAATCTAGATTTGATATTAGATACGGAAAGTCCACCTCACACAAGACGACCATGTAGTCTATCAATGGTGTTTTATTTTGCTCACCCAAATTTAATAGCATGAGAAAAGTCCTATTGGTGGAAAGTAGTCATAAAAGTCATTGCAAAAAAATGCCAATATGACCCAGGCTATATAATTAGCTATGAAAATAGCCTATAGAGTAGTAACCTAATTGCATCTCCCTGTATGTATAACTTACAAAATGTTTGGAAAGTTAGACATCAAGTGCCTAACTCTGGGAGACAGTATTATGGATCCCACACCCAAGTAACTTGGAAAGTTTTCCCAACAACCTTTATTACCTATGAGCACCCTGGATTCTGATGCTGCAGTATTCAACATATCCTAAGGAACATACCACTGGGGCCATTTGCTGCATATTTTATTTCATCACAGTTTACACAAAAATTATTTTTACTAGAATTTATTGCATATTAGCTAAGAATTATGTTGTTGAGTTAAAACCAATCCTTTATACATATCACAGCAAAATAAATGTACTGATATTTTGTCTACTTCTTTCCATTTCCAACTTTACTGAAAAGTATACAATCATATTATTTCCAAAAATGGTATTAAAGTGAACATCAATGCCTCAGATAGATGACCTTTCATACACTTCAATTTTTTTAAAATTTTTTCCATGTGTTTTTGTTTTTGTTTTGTTTTGTTTTTAATCCTGCTAAATTACAGATGGTATGAGAATCTTTTCTTTTCCAACTCATCTTCCAAAACTCAAATTAAAACAGCCTCTCAGACAAACTCAGATATTGCATTTTCTTTGATAAATTGACAGATTCACATTTAGAATGAGCTTGGATACAGATTGCTCTCATTGCATAAATTAATTAATTTTCAATCATAAATTGTTTTTGTCTTTCATTTACTTATACTTGCAATTAAAATATGATGGCAAAATGCCATTCAACAAAAAGCAGCTGTTTAATACCCAGTTCTCAGGATAGGTGATTCAGTAATGGCCTGCTTGCTCTGTTTTAGAAAAACCCTCTTTTTGCTTCAATTTTTATCTCAACATTTTTTAGACCAATCCTAATTTTAAAAAAGTGAATGTGAAGATTCACTTATCCTGAATGTGTTATAGACATCTAAGCCTCAGTGGGTAGAGCTGAATCTCGGAAGATTGGCTCCATTGTTTATTAACTCGATTGACAAATTACAGACAAAATATCTGGGGATCGGGATTCTCAGAAGGGCCAGGTCCCCAAGAAACCCAGTTATTTAAAGGAGAAGATGGCTTCATCCAGGGTCAAACCCCAGCAGAGAAGATGGGAAATTTCCACTTGCATGAAGAAAGTGCGGCCCACATTTGGGCTCAAGGAGGGCAAGGCAGACCCTGGAACAGGGACACATCAGGGCTCTCCATGTTGGGGAGAAGGACAGGTAGGAGAGGCTCATGTAGACAGCCACAAAGGTTTTCAGAAGGAAATCAACATGGTGTGTGCTTTAGTGTCAACTGACATACATTTTGTTGTGTTGTTTGCTTTGGTTATTGACACTGAATTCTCAAATTACATAGATATCAATAAATTCTTCCTCATTATCAAGGTAGTTTCTGCCTTTGCTGATGTTCTATCCATATGAAAACTAAGTAAATGGTCTTGCCTAAATTGTTTAGTATACACATCTGTAGTAATGGAAAAATAACCAAGAATGAATTTTTAAGGAGCCAAAGGCTGTTTAGTTGACTCTAGGCAGGATTGCAACAATACCAGTTTTAATGTTTATTTTCATATACTTTCAAAGAAACCTCCAAACTTAGATCTGAGGTTACGCTGGTGGTTTTAATGCTAATATGAACTGAGCATTTTGGGAGGCAGATGTTTTCATTTTGATTTGATCCAGGTTTTATTTTTTTGTTGTTGTTTGTTTTTAAGATTTTATTTATTTATTTGACAATCAGAGATCTCAAGTAGACAGAGAGGTAGGCAGAGAGAGGGGGGAAGCAGTCACCCTGCTGAGCAGAGAGCCCGATGCGGGGCTCAATCCCAGGACCCTGGGATCATGACCTGAGGCGAAGGCAGAGGCTTTAACCCCTGAGCCATCCAGGTGCCCCTTGGTTTTATTTTTTAGCTTAATATAATTAAGGTCCTTCTAGCATTGAACATTGAGTTGAAGTCCTGAACTCCCAGAATGGCTATAGAGAAACCAGAAAAGATACCATGGAGAAGGTATCTGAGCAGCGTAGGGTATGAGTCCCCTAGAAATACACAGAGATAATATTGCAGGGAACTGACTGTTGAATTGAAAAGGAGTCAAAACCTACATGGTTTGAACAATACCAAGGGAGCTGGAGTGCTGGGAGCAGAATGGGGTAGGATAAAAGTAGACAAAGAGATTGTAGAGGAGATGGGAGGAGAAAAGTCGGGGCTGCTCTACTGGGAAGCCTTTGGATTTTTCTTTCTTAAGCTTTAAGAAATCATATACCACATAATTCAGTATGTGTAAGAGACATCCAGTATCATATCTCTGGGAACAAGTGCATAGATTTTATTAAGATAATGTTTTCACCCCTTATGAATTTTTCATGGTCAAATGAAGATAACATTCCCAATGATTTCACTCAAGTATGAGAGGAAGAAATAGAACACAGCAAAAATAGTGAACTAAAACCACAGTGAATTAACAGAACTGTTGGTTCCTGATGTGGGCATAAGCTGGCTGGCCACATTGATTTACTCACTTATCAGGAATGATCCACAGTGCTGTGTGCTCTCAGTAAACCCCTTAAGCTGTGTGCCACTGTGGGCTCAGAGAAGAGGAGAAACACATGCTGTCCTCTGTTTGTCTTTCTTTCCCTCTTTTCTCTTCTTTTCTTTTTTCCTTCCTTCCTTCGTCCCTCCCTCTTTCCTTTCCTTCCCTTCCCTTCTGTCTCTGTCTCTTCCCTCCCCTGCCCTCCTTTTCCCTTTCCCCTCCTTTCTTCCCTCCTTCCTCCCTCTGTATTAATTAAAAGTTTCATTTGGGCTGCTTTGTTGAATATTTACTGAACAAGGGCAGATGGATGCAGATGGGCCACAAAGGAGAGGAACAATCCAGGTCAGGTGAAGTGGCACTTTTTCTGCAAGGATTTTCAGGTGGAGCCAGGTGATTTTGGTGAGAAATCAGATACTATGGTGAGAAAAACAAAAGTCAAGTGTTCTGTCCTGAGCACGTGGGAGGATGGAGTAACCACTGAGGAGATGTGAGAGACAGATTAAGGGTTAGAAAAACATGTCAGTTAGTTAGTTCGTTAGTTAATGTTAAGTTCCAGATGCTAATTAGACATGTCAGTGTGCTTTCAAATAGAGAAATTGTTTCCATGAGGCTTGTCCTCAAGCTTGATAAACACATTTTGGTGCTCAGGGCCAGGTGATAGCATTTATAATCCAGAGCCTGTGTCAGACCTCAAGGGGAATGTGGGTATATAAAGAGGTATTCAACCCTGATGACCTACATTAACGGGCTGGAGGATGTGGGTTGATGCTAAACATTGTATGCAACGTGGAAGGTCTGGAGTTGAATGCGAAGGGCACGTAGCTGGGCATGCTAAGTGCTAATAATAGGCCCAGGAACAGAGTGGAAACAGCTCAGCCATGCTGACAACAGATTACGACCAGTAGGGATGCTTGAAGAGCCACTGAAATATGGCATTACTATTTTGGTGGATGCCGAGGGAAAACCCCGATTGCAGTGGATTCAAGGGGGGTGCAGGCAGTTGACAAGGAAAACACCTTCAAGAAGGGATGGAGTACAAGGGAGTGGACAGATGAGGGCAGTAGGTTTTAGAGAACAGAATGACATCAAGACCTTATCTTTTTCCTCTTTTTTTTTTTCAAAGAAAGATTTTATTTGTTTGAGAGAGTGAGTGAGAGAGAGCATGAGCGGGGAGGTGGGGATGGGGGGAGGAGCGGAGGGTCAGGGAGAAGCAGACTCCCTGTTGAGCAAGAAGGCTGATGTGGGGCTCAATTCCAGAACTCCAGGAACATAAGCAGAGCTGAAGGCAGTCACCCAGCCAACTGAGCCACGCAAGTGCCCCATTTGTTCTTTATAAAGGGAGAGAAAACAAGACTGTTACATGCTGAGGAAAAGATCTAGCAGAGAAGGACCATTATTAATTCAGGGGAGTTAGAAAGTGTAATGTCTGCAAAAACTTCCACTGTGCTGGAGGGTGTAGGAACTAAAGCATGAGTGGAGGGATTTGCCTTAACTTAGGAATAGACCTTCCATTTGGAGTAACATGTAGGAAGCCGATGCAGAAGAACTGAAGGTGGGAGGTTGGGAATTTAGTAGCCTGAGTATCTGGATATTCCCTCTGGAGGATTTCAGGTTTTTCTTCAGAACAACAGGACTTTTGCTGAAGGTATAGATACACAAGGAAGTGCTGGAACTTTGAAAAGAGAAAAAAAATACAAGAACTAGGCACTCAAGAGAATGGAAGAGTAAGTAGCTGAAAGAAGGGTGGAGTCATTGTTCCACAGCATTAAAGACACTGAAGTTCTTGATTATAAATTCTAAAATGACATTTTGTGTCGTCTCTCATCTCTTTTATTGCATGGAAGCTCGTGAATGGTGGGTGGATGTTGCTTTTAACCAGGACCAGCTTTGACAATGAATGAAAGGAAAGCAAAGGGAAGGTGACATATTTAATGTATACAGGATACATGTTCAATGGCAGAGCATGGTATCCAACTAGGCAAGAAAGGACACTGATGGAGGTAAAGGTCAGCTCACACAAAGCTTCACACACACACACACACACACACACACACACTGAACAAGGTATCCATAAATACTGTTTGAAAGGAGAATGAATAAACTTCCCCAAGATGTCATAGGAGATATGCTATGTCTGACTTCTATATCAGACAAAACCCATATGCAAGAAAAGAAAGTCATTGCATCCATATGTGCCTGCTTAAAAAAAATTGTTTTTGTTATTCTTAGTTTCCGAGTTTGCTTTCCTTCTGTTTTGTTATCTTTGTTTTGTTTTGCTCTGTTTTTTCTGTTTTTGTTTTTATTTTTGGATCTGAGACTTCTAAATTTCAGAGAACACAAGAAATGGAATTTGCTAAGGTTCTTTCCAAGACCTAACATCCACATTCAGCTTGTGATATCGAAATATTTTCTTATAAAACCAGGATGAAATTGTTATAAAAAGCTTGTCCTTATAAAGCATTATATGCAAAGATCTCAACTATAAAAAAACTGCTAAACATGAAGAGCTACAAATATTTGTATAGTGATTTTCCAAAATGTTCTCCTTTCCACAGACAATGAAGCCCCCAATGTGTCCAGTGTCACTGAATTTCAGCTGTTAGGATTCCAGAACCTTCTTGGATGGCAGACACTGCTCTTTGCCATCTTCTTGTTCATCTACTTTCTCACAGTCACAGGAAATGTTGTTATTATTGCAGTGGTGAGCCAGGACCAGCAGCTGCACTCACCCATGTATGTATTTCTCAAACACCTCTCATTTCTAGAGATCTGGTATACATCCACCATCGTGCCCCTTCTCCTAGCCAACCTGTTCTCTCACGGCCAAGCCATCTCCTTCCCTGCCTGTATGGCACAGCTTTACTTCTTTGTGTTCTTTGGGGCTACTGAGTGCTTTCTTCTGGCCATGATGGCCTATGACCGATACCTGGCCATCTGCAGCCCACTCCACTACTCTTTCCTGATGAGTCCTGAGATCTGCACCAGGTTGGTGGCAGTCTCCTGGTTGACAGGTGTTGGCACAGGATTTCTGCCCTGCCTAATGATTTCCAAATTGGATTTCTGTGGTCCTAAGCAGATCAGTCATTTCTTCTGTGATCTCCCTCCCCTCATGCAGCTCTCATGTTCCAATGTGTATGTCACCAGGATGGTCATCTTCATCCTGTCAATTGCAGTGCTGTGCATTTGCTTTCTTCTTACACTTGTGTCCTATGTTTTCATTGTATCTACCATACTGAGAATCCCTTCAGCATCTGGACGGATGAAGACCTTTTCCACATGTGGCTCCCATTTGGCTGTTGTCACTATCTACTATGGGACCATGATCTTCATGTATGTTCGCCCCAATGACCACCTGTCACCTGAAATCAACAAGATCATTTCTGTCTTCTACACTGTGGTCACTCCACTCCTGAACCCTGTTATCTACAGTTTGAGGAACCAAGAATTCAAAGAGGCTGTTAGAAAAGTCGTGAGAAAAAAGTGCAGTATCTATGGAGTAAGAGTGAAGGGGAGTTTCTTTGTTAGGTAATTAAAAAATATCACACAGTGGATTAATTTGGGGAATATGTGAGTGGCAAGTTCGGAGCCTTCAAACCAAAATGCATCCTTGGCACTGTGTGGAATTCCACAAGCCATAATGAAAGAGTTTCATCATGGCCCCTTGACAACAACTGTTCAGAAGACAAATAGCCTCTATTAAATGATTTTGGGGGCAATTCTAACCTATGAGTCTTTCATCTTCTGATGAGAATCTAATTGTATGATTTCAGGGCATGTTGATTTCGCACATTACTTTCAGATTTTACATACTTTTCTCCTGAGTTCATAAAGCATGTTGGTAGAAAGTTTTACAACTTTTAAGTACTGGTAGGAGACTGGCCTTATAGATTCAGTTCCTGGTGCTATTGGTGACTATTAAATACCTGTGGAATGAATGAAGATATATAAATAATTACTGACCTAAATTAACTTCCAGTGACAAGAACAAAGAAGGGTTTTTGATGTGCCAAGGATTTAGATACAGGATTTTAACTTTGTAATGCTTTTTATTTTATGGAGAGGGAAGGAACATGCCAGAGGCATAAATGGAGGGAGAGGGACAGGTGGAGAGGGAAGAAAGAGAAACACTAAAGAAAGAGGAAGAAAGGAAGGGAGGGAGGAAGTGAGGGAGGGAGGGAGGTGGAAGGAAGGGCAAGAAAGCAAACAGAGGGGAAAAAGAAAGGGAAGGGAAGAATAACAGATGGGAGTAGAGGAAGGAGGGAAGAGAGGAGTCAAACTTTCTTTTATTCAACCAATATTTAGAAGACCTCTGTTACTCCTGCCTTCTATCTCATTCGTAAATTCTACAGCTATCTCCAAGCCCTTTATATATGCCAGTCCTCTTCCTGCAGTCTGATTGCCCAGGGACACAATGGTAAAGAAACTGCCAAGGGATATTTGGCCTGAATGGAGCCTCTAGTATTGAAGGATATATATATATATATATGTATATATATATATATATATACATATATATATATACACACACACATGTATGTATATATATATACATACACACACACACATATACATATATATAAAATGCCTTACCCAAGGAGTAATGGATTTTTTTTTTTTAGGAGTAATGGATTTATGACTATTTGTGATGTTTGCTGTGAAACAATAGAGTATAAGCTGGTTTATCTATATGGAACAGTAAGGTCTGAATCAACATAGAGTGTTATGAATGATTTCTATGTTTATGTTGTACTTTAATCTACACTTTCAGATGAGGAGAATAAGAATGGAGGTGGTATCCCAGGCAGGGAGCATGGTGTGAATGTCAGGAAAAGAAGCCTGGGGAACATGGGGATAGAGGAAGGAGATGAGTTTGGAGATGAGTCTGGATCATTGAAAGCCCTATAAGGGTTTTGGATTTTACACTGAGACAAATGATGGATTATCAAAGGGCATCAAATAGGAAATGACATGATATATTTTCCATTTGCAAATCTCACTGCTGTTTAGAGAGAGGAGTGACAGAAAGCAAGACCTGCTGGTGTCATAGCAGTAACCCACATGAGAGAGGAGCTTGGCTAGATTTTAGGTTTGATGATGCCTCACAGGCTAGGCATGAAAATTCTAGACTCATTCACTCATGCCCATGCAGTGGGGTCAGTCTGTAGTCTCTTCCCAGTCCAGTAGCCCATTTGTGATATGTTCCACATCAATCCCTGAGCTTTAGAGGTAAGTGCACTTTGACCCTTTGGCACATGTTTTTAATTCTTTTTACCCTCCTTCTTCCAACCCTTGTTTCCTCTTCCTCCAGAATCTGACCTGTGAGGACTGTTGTTAGTCTTTATCAGACCCATCCATTTCAAACATTGAATAAAAGGAAAATGATACAGTAGAATCTGAGATAGGGCAGGAAGTTGGTGACAGAAAGGAAAGTATCATTACTCTGGGATTTTGGATATAAGATGAAGAAATAATCAAATATCCTTTCTTTCATATGGTCATTTCTGATAAATATCTTGAAAGCAACTTATGTTTAACCAGACTTGCTATCTTACCAAAAGCTTCTTTCTAATTTTAAGCTTGACAGGTAATTTGGCTCTGTGTAAGGGGAGAAAGATTATTGACCACATATGAAAGATTTCAAAAAATTATTTCAAATGGACATTTGGGTACATAAATCTGGAGCTTAGAGTAGTAGCTTGGCTGAAAGTGAAATTTTTTTTGCTTTGTTTTGATTTGTTTTACATGTAGATCCTATTTGAAAACAGAAGAGCATGCAGGAATTACAAAACATAAATTTTTAGTAGAGAAGAGGAAGCTGTGGGAACTAAGAAGGAGCAACCACATAAATGGGAGAGCATTCGTAAGGTGATTGTAGAGACTCTTCTAGGGGGAAGAGAATGGAATGGGAATGGCTTGCAAGGAAAGCGGTTGTGTGTATGCAAACAATTGCCCTGAGAAATGCACCTGTGAAAGAGTGAGATAAAAGTGAACCCTGAGGTAAAACTGAGCCCAGGATTGGAAGTGTCACTGTGTTTCAAAAGAGGTAAGATTTTAGCAGCTGAGTAGGTCTGAACACTTCCAGTAAGAGTCCAGGAGTGAGCGAAAACTTGAGGAACGGATATCCAGGTGATAACTGACAGCCTGGTGTTGAAGAGGGAGGGATCTGAGACAAACATGACTCAAATCAGCATTCAAAGGGAGAAGCATTTATTTACTGTGAGAGACAGAAGGGAGAGGACTTTGCAATTTGATGGGTATTCAAATAATTAGTTAGGACTTGTAGACCTCCTCACCTGTGGACTTAATCACAGGACTTAACCTGTGGGTTTATGTTTTTGAGATCAGGTAGCAGCTCTCCTTTAGCACAGAAAATGCAGGTCTAGGTTTGAAGAAGGTGATGAAGTCATTCCAAACTCATATGGTAAAATGGGATTGATAGATTTCTAAAGACAGGTGGATTGGGGGCAAAAATGATTGCCTAGATGAAGTAGGATAACACTGATTTATTGCAATGTTGAGTTGCCTGCCTTGTGCACTGTACTTTAAGACCATTCAGATGTTTGTGCTCAGGACCATATAATAAAATAGTTCATTTTGTGTTAAGACTTAGCTCTGTGGATAGAGTCATATATATAAAAGGAAAGACATGATAGATTCAAGAGTCACAGATTGTCAGGAAGAGATATCAATATGGGAGGGAAGTGAAGCAAACAATGACCAGAAATACAGAGTTTAAAAAAAAAAAAACAAACCAGCAGGATTGTGTTATAGGATTTTGTTATTTGTAATAGGACTCTCTGTGCTACATGGATAGATAGGAAGTGATGCATAGAAGTTTAGTGGCTTAAAAGATTAAAGACAGGGTTTAGTTTTAGGAGATGACAAAGCCGTAAGTATGGCCATAAGAATAAGTGAGATAAATCGGATCATGAAAAGAAAGAGAGGTTGGTCACATGGCTGAGAACAAACATTCTAGTAGGGGGAAAAGAAGTTATGGTTCTGGTGTCTTTCGCAAATGAGAGGAGGTAGTCAGTAGTTTAGTAAATTATCTCAATAAGGGGTGGGTGGGTTCACTACCTCTTTAGCATGAGTCTTAAAACATATATAGTTTTTAAAAGGAGTGGGAGAACAATATCCAAGGAGTATCGTTTAAGAGCAGGGAGTTTATCATGTACATAGACTGATGCTGCGATACAGGGAAAGGGAACGTTAAGCAGTTCCACTTAAGACAATTAGTGCTCAGTTTCCATTCAGGCAAGGAAGTGCCATAAGATGCATCAAGAAGTGGCTAAACAAGAGACATGAGTTCCAAAGGGAGGCTTAACCGTGACTGACCATGGCTGCCAGCTTTTCTCGGCCTCTTGTGGGGGGTGAGCCTCTCACTGTTCTCTCAAGGCACCACTCCCGCTTTGCATGGAGTATGAGATCTTCAATGGAAGTACAATTAACATGTTTTAAACAAAACACAATTTGATTCTCAGTTCCTTTTAAAAAGGTCTCTAGACCTTTGTGCTGTGGCATTAAAAGGGCCATTGTTACATGTGTTGTTGATTATTTACTTCTAGTTTTGGTTGTTCAAGAACTATGATACACTCAAGGGCATTATATTTTTTTTTTTTTTTTTTTAGATTTTTATTTTTTTTTTATTTACTTATTTGACAGACAGAGATCACAAGTAGGCAGAGAGGCAGGCAGAGGCAGAAGCAGGCTCCCCGCTGAGCAAGGAGCCCGATATGGGACTCGATCCCAGGACGCTGGGATCATGACCCGAGCCGAAGGCAGCTGCTCAACCAACCGAGCCACCCAGGCGTCCCAAGGGCATTATATTTTTAAGGAAACATTTCAGAAAATTGTTATAGCATGTATAGGAAAATTATATGGAACTTCTAATGAAGTCCATCTACTACTACAAATAAATTTTTAAGTATATATGTTAACAATGGAAACTATATAATTTTCCTGGTTCTTGATCTATTAACTGTGCACAATAAAAATAACATTCATTATGATGTAGACATCATTTTTTTTGTTAAATATACCACTTTACCAACAACCTTATGACAGTGAAGAAAAAGGGAATTGACATTTGATCATTTCTATCTCTAACAAACACAGAACTAAATGTAACTTTAATCCCTAATGGCTCCAGCTAGATCCTGAACCATTTTTATGTGATCACATGACTTAAAATGTTTTCTTGAGGATCAAATTACCTCTAAACCTGTCATTTGAGAACAAGGACTATGACTTAAAGCCTGGTTTTAACTTATAGTCCTACTCTCAACAGGCAGCACATAAGTAGACACAGGTGAAGGGCCAGAGAGGCAAACCAGGAGGAACTAGCTACTGGTAATCCTATACCAGTCCTCATGTTTGTTGATTTATTTTCTTTCTTTCTTTTTTTTTTTTTTAAATTTGATAGAGAGAGTGAAAGAGCACAAATAGGGGGAGCAGCAGGCAGAGGGAGAGGGACAGGCAGTTTCCTGCTGAACAGGGAGACCAATGCAGGTCCTCATCCCAGGACC